TCACTGACGTCCACTCAGCCTTTAATGCCTGACGCAGTGACGTCCGCTAAGCGATGTCAGGTCACACAGGTCGCGCTGACCCAGGTAGAATTATCAGCTTAAGAGGCTCATACTCTGACCCTGGAGGTCACGATGTGGCCTATTTATGACAACAAAAATCTGACCAATTGCAATCGCGCTGTCTACGGGAGTCTTGAAGCATCGTCGTCACTCCAGTCATATCAGTCATATCACCTTAAGTCAACACGCTTATCATTATTCAGTCATAATATCATCTTCAAGGGAAATCATCCGATATCAACCACCCAATTACGGCTGCTAATTAGTTTAATACTGACTTAGCATGTTCTGAAATTAGTATAATTTTCACTTTATAGGAGAAAGTATTGTGATCGTACGAAAAAGTCGAAATCCAGATTTAAAAAAAATTTAATTAAAGAAAGCAATGTGTCTTTTGTTTTCTTTTCAAGTGTTAGTTATATACAGTGTTATAAAATTTTACAAGAAGTTGACTTGACATACGTACCATCTCTATATATAATTCTCTTCTGGGAGACGCTAGAAAACAAGCTGTAAACGCGCTCCCTACCACCCCCACCCCTACATGGTCTGGTGAGCTGTGGTTCACTCTAAATGTTTAGAAACAGAGCCGGGTTTAGTGACGACTATTAGTTAGGGGCAGATAATTTAGTTTGCAACGATTTTAAACGTGGGGGGGGGGGGGGGTAACTAAGTGGAGTTTACTTTAACGGAGGGGGGTGGGTGGGTAGGAGGGGGGGTATTGTCCTTAACGAACTACTTATAGTGTTTTAAAGAAATATTTCCAGTGGCAGCGTTGGTACTGTCGAATTCACAAATTATGAATAACTAAAAAGTAGAAAAAACAACAACTAAATAGCGGTGTATGATATGCCGCGGGTCGGCTCGTGTTCCATATTTTAGACCACCACACAGAGACTTGATGATCACCACGTGAGTAAAATACTAAAAATTGGGAACCAAGGACAGATTCCAAGAACTGGAAGAGGGTGGAGGGGGGGGGGGGTATCACAACCCTTCCCCTTCTTCACAAAAATAAACGTGGGATTTTTTTTTTAAAGGAAAGCAAGTAAAAAAAAAACACCCAACCGTTTGCATTGTTAAAATGTGTTCTTTTCTTGTTCCTTTATATATATATATGTATATATATATATATATATATATATATATATATATATGTATATATATATATATATATATATATATATATATATATATAATATATATATATATATATATATATATATATATAGATATATACATATATATATATATATATATATATATATTAATATATATATATATATATATATATATATATAAATATATATATATATATTATATATATATATGTATAGCTACATGTGGATCTCGAGAGGGAAATGGCGCCACCTCTACGGTATCTATTTCTCACCTGCAAAATAAAAGATTAGATACTTTTATGCTTGTAACTAGCGCTTAAAACAACACACGCAAACCATTTGAATTCTGACTGCATATATTTCACCTCTTCCCCCTTGAAGCTAGTCTACCGCCCCTTCCAGAACAACATAGAATATTTATACAAAATATATACTTCAACCCCTGTCTCCCCCCCCCCCCCCCCCCCCTCCATAGGAGAAAAATGTCTGAAAGAAACACTGGTCGGATGTATAAAAGTGAAAAAACCATGAAATCTCGGTAGCCGGTCTAAAAGCGTCTAGATCTATTTGTTGTTTCAGTCTGATAAGGGAAGGTGTCACTAGGTAATAGTGTTGTCTCCCTTTACTGGCTAATCGTGTTTGTCTCCCTTCAGTCGGTAACTCTTCTCTCTCCTTGAACGAGCCCTAACGGGCTAACGAGTAGCAAGGGCTTCTGGGTGGTGCTCGTATGATTAATTGCTGTTGAGGAGTTGATTACTTTTGTTCTATCCAACTCAGTCACACGTCGCTTGTCTTAAAGAAACTTGTGTACGTGTAATGAAGCTGTATCAGTATGTCTCTCCAGGATCAACGATACATTTTTTTCTCAATAAATTACGGATGGGAAAATGTATGATTTTTTTATACGATAGTAAAAATAAAACTTATCGAAGCACCAACAGATTTTGGAGTTTTGCAGAAATATTTTTTAAAGGTGAGTTATTTTTTTATATTCCCTACTTCCAGTGAGTTGATTATATATTCACAATGATAAATCAGTAAGGTTTTTACGAACTTGAACCCCATTGCCCATCTTATTTATATAGCTACGTCACCAACTCAACCATATCATTGCATACATAGATCAAAACTTGTTGATAACATGTTGGTAGTGTTCGCTTTGTTATTTATTATTTATAATTAAATTACGTATTCTTCTACTATATATTCGAAATGAAAAACAAAACTATATAGGCCTATATATATATTAAAAGGATATGCTCAATGGAAAATGCTCAATCTTGTAATAATTAACTTTTTGAAGTTTTATTCTACGTCTCCCCCTCCTCCTCAGTGTTTTTCTCCATTCTCGAATCAGTTCAAGGATGAACGCGATTTGAGAAGGAGGAATGAACATGTAGAAGTGTTTTTTTATTTTAATTTTAAACTTCTTAGAAAGGATCACACAAAAACAAACACATTTGGATTATTTTTAACATTTTGCTTGCTTTCAACTGTCTTGGTTGCTAAGGTTGTTTTTGTTTCATCAACATCTTTTCCTCGTTAGTGCTTATGACACATGGGGTAGATGAAGTAGAGTTATTCTGTTTCAATGATTGCGACATACAGATAGTCTGGTCAGCACTATACCCACTCGACTTTACTTTCCCTAACGTGAGTCGGTTGCCCATCAGAGCTGGGTGGACTCAAGGTTGTCTATACACTCAGGACCGTGATCCGAATTCGAGACTTTCGGGTCAGCACTCGTAAACTCTACCACCTGACCGCAATTTGTTCCCATTTTAATGTTAACATAATCAACTAACAAAACGTTATAGAAAACAACATTTAAAAAAAATGTATGTCGAGATTAACTTTTAAAGTAATCATTGAAAACAGCTGAAATGTTTGAAGTATGTCTGAGGTAATAGTTTACGTCAAGTGTGTGGTTAACTCAATAACTGTAGTCCGTTAAGATCAACTCTATCCGTCACTCTCCATAGTCCTCTGTCCTGCCGACAATTTGACTTCATATGTAGCCTATGTTTGCAGTGTCAGCCTCTATGTTGCGTCGTCAAGTGATTTAATCCGACTTCTTTTGTTCATGTTTGTGCAATTTCCACCCTGTTTGATGGTCGCCCATGTCGCAGAATGTTACATAATATTTATATTACTGGACATTTTTTTAATATACCTTATTTTAACTAATTTAACCGTTACTTAAAACGTACAGATAAACGCAAAGTGTTAAATATCCTTGAAGAAAAATCCCGACCTCGCCACGACAACGTTCTAGTTTGACCGTGGCTGAATGCTCCTCACGAGAAGCTGACGTAGAAGGGTGAAAAGGTCCCCTCCACCGAGACTTCCATTCTTCGCCATTGGGCAGCCGCGCTGTGGACGATTTGACCGTGTCATTACCGCGGCCATTTCTTCCCCCCCTTGTCCGGCTGTAATGCAGGCTCCATTTAAACGCACGGAGAAATTTTCCGGACAAGTATCTGTGGAAACCTTACAATCATGCCAGCACTTCAGCAGAAAACTCGCGAGGAAAAAAAAAAACACATACACGCGAGAACCAACCCTCCCCGGAAGTGCGTGCGTCCCCCTGGCGGCAGACAAATAGTTCCATTGGCGGGAAAATAAGATAATAACGTGTTCTGTCTCCGAGGGCGGATCCCCCGCTTCCCCCTCCAACTCCTCGGGGACGCCCGACTCTCCGTGATTACCAAAATTATCCGGAATTTTCAGGAATTACCAGAAAATCAAGCAAGTAATGGGCGCAATTTGTCTCCCTTTTCTTCCCTCTTAGTCTTCCATTTTCATCCCCCGAGTCGCCGCCCGTGTTTCCCGCCTAGTGACGTAGTTAGCCGGTGTCACGCGAACGCTGGGCCTGAAAAGTTAGCGATTATTAAATCATTAGAACCAGCTACGAGTTTCCGGCGTCGCCATCTCGGTTGCTTCCCTTCTTGCCCTTTATAGTGGGAGAAAACAAGTCTATTTCTGCTCAGTTTGTTAAAGGATGGTTAAAAGAACCGCAATTAGCTTCTGTGTAATCATGGGAAGAGAGGGGTGAGAGAGGAGGGATGAAAAAGGGAATGAAAAGGGTGAGAGAATCAGAAAAGGAAAAGAAAAACACAGAGACCAAGGGATGTAACTTGACTGAAAATTTCTAAATTTACATTAATTTTTTAAATGGATACTAATGTAAATTAAATTTTGAAATGTGAAATCAAAATAAGATTTAAAAGCATTTGACAAATTATGCAGTAGTAAAATATATTAAATATAAGTTGATAAATGTTTGTTTTTTTTTGTTTAAAGTTGTTATTCTATTTTAAAAAATAATGTGTTTAAAATGTTATTTCATACTTGTTATTTTAAAAATATTATCTTTAAAACATTCTTGATTTACTTACTCCCATTTTATGATTTACTTCTTGGTATTTCATGAAAAAAAAGAAAAAAAAAACAGCACGGTTTAGTATTTGTAAATATCGAAAAGTTTTTTTTATGTTATAATATTTAATTTATTATTAAAATTAAAAATGTGTTTAAAAAAAAAAAAAATTCATGACAAGTAGCCGAACCACATATTAAATGGTCGTATAAACCAGGGGTCGGCAAGAGCCAAAAGTTAAAATTTTCAATATTTCACTGGTTTTAAAGAGCCACTAACATTTTTTTTATTTCAAATATGTTATTTTTTTATTAAGATTATTAGTATTTGTTCAAGGAGCTGGAGAGCCGCATCTTGATATCAAAAGATCCGCATGCGGCTCGCGAGCCGCAGGTTGCCGACCCCTGGTATAAACAATGAAGTAAACATTGTAGAAAAAAATGGATAGAAAAGAGAAGCGTTTTGGTGAAACTGAGGAACAACAGAGAACCTATTTTCAAATTGAGCTTGAGTTTGTCCAGTGTCTAGCAAACTCCAATTATTTAAATTTTATTAACTATCTCAAGTACCTTCAGTACTAGAAAGAACCAAGATATGCCAAATTTCTCAAATACCCCAAATGTTTACACATGATAGAACTTCTACAGTATGAACATTTTCGTAAGGAACTTGTCAATTCTCAATGTGCCAAATTCATTGATGATCAACAGCTCTTACACTGGCAGCACTACCAAAGAAAACGGAATGCTTTGATACAGGAACAAGCAGAGAAAACACAAACACAGAAAGATGGAAAACAAGTTTCTTTACAATCAGGAACTTAAATGAACTGTGTACACAAGTTTTCTAATTATTGAATCTTTTCAATTTAAAAAAAAAATTCATCAAAAAAGAGAGACATGTATTGAGTAGAGATAGGACGGAAAAAATAAGGGTAGTATTTTAAGGTGCGCGGACCTTTGACCACAGGTGTTTTGACCATAGGGGGTTTGACCACAGAGGGGCTTTGACCATAGGAGCTTTGACCATCGGGTAAAAAAAATGATTATTTCTTAAGCCGGAATTATACAGCCCTAAACGTGCAATGATAAAAAAATGTTAAAAAACTAAATAAGCTGAAATTTATGATATATTGTGCAATTTAAACGTATTTTTAAAATTCTATATACTATTTAAACATAATTTTATGAATGATAATGACGAAAAAAACGCCGTCTATTTTAAAGAAACAACTAATACATAATATGATCTTTAAGCTCAAATGTAAAGCTCAAAACTCCCTAAAATATAAAAACGTAAAATTGAACAGAAACGTCAAGAGTCGTGTTTTCCATAATTAAGTGATTCTTCAGATTGACAAATTCGTCATGTCTCTTATTTAATCCCCCCCCCCCCCCCCCCACCCTGATTAATGAACACCAAGGGGGATAAGTCAAGTCTCCAGCAGAACCTCATTTAATTTGCATCACTCCGCGATTGGGAAGACATTAGAGAAATCTGGGCAAGGGGAGTGAAGTGGAGAGTAGTCACGCAGTGGTCTAATGGTCAGCATGTCCGCATAGTTTCTTCCAGGCATCTCTTTGGGGAGGCACTGCCCCCCCCCCACGAAGAAAGTGAACTCCCCCCCCCCCCCCGAACGAAATGGAATTTATATAGAAAATATATACTTTTGACAGTGTCCGCCCCCCCCCCCCCCCGAACGAAATGGAATTTATATAGAAAATATATACTTTTGACAGAGTCCGCCCCCCCCCCCCCGAAAATTGTTGTCCGCCCCCCCCCCCCCGGAAAATTTCAAGTGCACCCCCGGAGAAAAAAGTCTGAAAGAAACACTGCCTGTCCGTTACAGCCAGCTAGCACAGTGGACTCGGGAATACACATGTACACAAGTATGATATGTGTACACTAGTGTATATTTACATCTGTACATAGGTAACGTATCTGTACACTAGTGTATATTTACACCTGTACTCCTGTACACAGGTAACATATTTGTACACTATGGTATAATTACACATGTACACAGGTAACATATCTGTACACTAGTGTATATTTACACCTGTACTCTTGTACACAGGTAACATATTTGTACACTAGTGTATAATTACACATGTACAAAGGTAACATATTTGTACTCTAGTGTATATTTACACTTGTACACAGGTAACATATTTGTACACTTGTGTATATTTACACATGTAAACGTACGATATTTTAACACTTGTTCACATTTGCACACGTTCGATATATGTACACTAGTAGTAGCCTATAAGCTTGCATTTGTTCACAAGTACAATATATATATACTTGTACAAACTACACTAGTACGATCTGTGTACACGTTACACGTCCACACCTTACACAAGTATGGTATATCTACACTTAGGTGACCAGAAAGATGCGCAACGGAAAAAAAGCGCAAAAAAATTGCGCAAACAGACGCAAACAGAAAAAAGTGCACACAGAAAAAAGCGCAAACAGAAAAATGCGCAAACAGAAAAAAACGCAAATACAAAAAGCGCTGATAGAAAATTGAAAATTCATTGACATATGTTACATCTCTTTTTTTTTGTTTATTTCCGTGCGCGCTATTTACGTTTGCGCTTTTTTCTGTTTGCGCTTTTTTCCGTTGCGCATCCTTCTGGGAATCCTATACTTATACACAAAGTAGCAAATACCGTTTCGGTCCACGGGGCAAGTGAAGTATAGCTCACTTGTTTCTGTGACCTCGGCATATGAAGGGATAGTGTGGTCAGCACTATGCTTAGCCGCCTTTACTTTTCTAAACGTGAGTTAGGTACCTAATCGGGGCTGGGTGGACTCAGGTAAGTTCTATTGACCCAGATTTGAACTCCAGACTTTCGGGTTAGCAGTCCAACGCTCTACCACGCCGTCTCACTGTACACACTATATGTGATATGTACATGTGTGTCCAGTACACATATGTACAAATACGACATATGTATGCTTGCACCCAATAACCCCAGCTCAATATACGATATAAAAAAAAAATCATAGTAGTACATGGTAATGACTAAAAATTCTACATAATTTTTTAAAATTTAAATATTAAATTTAAGGTTATAAGTTATTTATCGATTAATTAAATTTTAAAAAATCATAAATTCATCAAATTATAAAGTTTATACATTAAAAAATAACGCTCCTGTACATAACTCCAACCCAAGCCGTAAACGTATGTCTAACCATAGCTTACCCTAACCATGATATTCGGCCTACTTCACCACTGAACATAGTCTTCTCATGATGTTTTACTCGCGTCTATTTTCACTGAACGTAGTCTTCTCATGATGTTTTACTCGCGTCTATTTTCACTGAACATAGTCTTCTCATGATGTTTTACTCGCGTCTATTTTCAGAAAATTGACAGAAAATCCATTTCACCATATTTTCAGGTAGTAGTTTCGTCATCAACCTTAAAATTACCACCTCCACTCCCACCCCTTCTACTTCCGCTCACCCCTTAACTTCCGGTCACCATTCCCTTGAAGCCACCACGCTCTGGTCCTACCCCCGGCAACCCCCCCCCCCCGGGGCCCGGCGTCCCACGTGACCACGTCTTGTGACGGTGATTGGTGTGATGAGGCCCCACTTAAAGAGTCTTTACACAGCGCCACAGGGTGGTGAGTTTCAAAGCGAGGCTCTGATTGATTCAATCCCGGTACTGCATTCGTCTCATTGGGGGAGGCGCAAAATCGGGAAACTCAGAAACGTCAAGAGAGTTAAGGCCCTTGGTTTTTACAAAAAAAAATAATGTACTTAACGGTTGCCGAAATATAATTTTCTTAAAATTAGGACTCCATGTTGGGTATTATGTGTGGGGGTGAGGATGGTGGACGCGGAGTCATGTTTAAGTACCAAGGGGGGGGGGAATGGGGGGGGTCACAGTTAAAAGTTGAGGCGAGAAAATAAAATCAGTTGCCGGATAACAATGCTGATTAAATATTTTTATCTTACTAATGAAGAACAGATTTGGTCTAATTTCTTTTCCAAATTGGGAATAAAACAGAGCCAGCTAACGAATTCTTAATTCATTATTCCCTGCTAGGAGAAGACGGTGGATGCCAGTGGAATTCGGAATGGGGAGTAAAGCGAGCACAGGGGAGATAATTCTGCGTGGCGACAGGGGCGGGCAGGGAGGTAACTCTAGGAGTAGGAGATGGAGGATTACACAAGAGCTTGAGAAATTAGAGGAAATCAGAAATGATTGGGAAGTTTGTGGGAGAGATTGTGTGATGATTGGATAGGGTGTGGGGTATTGGGATAGATGGTGAGACATTTGTGTGGATGGGTGGTGAGATACATGTATGGGTATATGGTAAGATAATTGTTTGGATGGATGGTGAGACATATATGCTTGGATGGTGAGATATATGTATGGATGGAATGATGGTGGGACATTTGTATGGATGGTTGGTGAGATATATGGATTGATGGTGAGACATATGGATAGATGGTGAGACATATGGATTGATGGTAAGACATATGGATGGATGGTGAGACATATGGACTGTGAGACGTATGGGTGGATGGTGAGACATTGATGGTGAGACATATGGATGGATGGATGATGAGACATGGATAGATGGTGAGATATATGGATGAATGGTGAGACATATGGATGGATGGTGAGACATATGGATGGATGGTGAGACATATGGATGGATAGTGAGACATATTGATGGATGGAGAGAAATATGCATGAATGATAAGACAGATAAATGGACTGTGAGACTGTTAGATGTATGAAAAAAGAGACATTTGGGTCTTGGCGTGGTAAGTCATTGTAGCTATACATGGCTCGTCCATCAGGCGTGATCCAATTAAATAAAATCAATAATTAAGTGATAAGAGAGTTTTGGTGATACAGTTTTATGTGTGTACAGATGGTGTGTTACATTTGAGTGGTTCGGTGGACAAAAAGCCACCACGGCAGATGGGGTAGTAGAAAATTATCTCATCGAATCGTAAATACAAGTTTCAAACGCAAAATCAAAATACATGTATATGTTTAAGTATATAAATAAATTTAAATATATATATATATATATATATATATATATATATATATATATATATATATATATATATATATATATATATATATATATATACATATATATGTGTATATATATATATATATATATATATATATATATATATATATATATATATATATATATATATCCCCGACTGCCCATGGATCTGGCTCTGTTATGTTGATGAAAATATGAAACAGCTGAGCAACATTTCCTGCTATTATGTTAAATGAAAATTTTTTTTTTCAAAGAATCAGCAGCATGATAGAAGAAAAAAAAGTGTCCCTGCTGCTTCCCCCGACCCCTCCCCGGGGTCCCCCCTGCGTCCCGCCTCCCACTGCCCATCATTCACATGCTGTAGCTGATCCATCTGAGATCAAGCATTAAATCAGAATCGCTATAAGCTGATGAGAGATGCTTGCCCTCATTAGCCAGATCTTAGCATGTCACATTTTATGTCTAATTAAGGAAAAGCGAACTTAGTGAGGTAAGGAACAGAGTGATTGAATGAGGATGACATATATATATATATATATATATATATATATATATATATATATATATATATATATATATATGTGTGTGTGTGTGTGTGTGTGTGTATGTGTGTGTGCATGTGAGTCATGTACGTGTATTTTTTTGTATAAATTAAAAATATTAATATAGATTGTTTAAATCTAGTATATCCTTTCAATTTAAAACTAACTAGCTAAGGGATATAACTTATATCAATTTTACCTAAATTGATAAAAGTTACAGAGAAATTCAATAATTTGAAAAAAAAAACGTAAATCATTGTTTATTTTGTTATTACAAAACACGAATATTCAAAAGGTTATAAGAATGTTAGCTTTATAAATATATTTGTATAATTGGAATTAATTATTTAATTCCATTTTAAATTAAAAACTGCTAGGTATGCTTATAACTTGATTGGTAGACACGGGAAAGGCTTTCTTGAACTACATTCTATGAAATGCTGTGGTTCGTTCAAACCATTTTGAAAATATTTTATTTTTAAAATTAAAATAATAGTTTTTAACAGGAAATTAGACTGTTTGTATTTAGAGTAACCAAACAATTTTCAATGGATTTAAGTTGTATCAGTCCTCACAAGCCGATGATAAAAATTATACTACTAAAGCGAACATGTTAAAATAGATTAAAATAATCCTAAATACATTAAATATTTTGCTCACAGTATCTGCAGTGCTAACAGTGCCTGCAGGTCTCACAGTGCTCACAGTGCTCACAGTGCCTGCAGTGCTCACAGTGCCTACAGTGCTCACAGTGCCTGCAGGGCTCACAGTGCCTGCAGGGCTCACAGTGCCTGCAGTGCTCACAGTGCCTGCAGGGCTCACAGTGCCTGCAGTGCTCACAGTGCCTTCAGTGCTCACAATGCCTGCAGGGCTCACAGTGCTCACAGTACCTGCAGGGCTCACAGTGCCTGCAGGGCTCACAGTGCCTGTACTGCTCACAGTGCTCACAGTGCTCACAGTGCTCACAGTGCCTGTAGTGCTCACAGTTTTCACAGTGCTCACAGTGCTTGCAGTGCTCACAGTGCTCACAGTGCCTGCAGTGCCTGTAGTGCTCACAGTTTTCACAGTGCTCACAGTGCTTGCAGTGCTCACAGTGCTCACAGTGCCTGCAGGGCTCACAGTGCTCACATTGCCTGCAGTGCTCAGTGCTCACAGTGACTGTAGTGCTCACGGTGCCTGCAGTGCTCAAAGTGCCTGTAGTGCTCACAGTGCCTGCAGTGCTCACAGTGCCTGCAGTGCTCACAGTGCATGAAGGGCTCACAGTGCCTGCAGGGCTCGCAGTGCTCACAGTGTTCACAGAGCCTGCAGTGCTCACCCAGACCTGGGTGCTGACACGAAGAATACATTCCCTTTCATACGGAGTTCATTGACAGGTTTACGTCCTGTATCATGATATAAGACGGATGTTCACGTTTCACGATTGTTTGCTCAGGGTTTTATTTTTAGTCATACCAGTAAATAGCTTTAGTAAGGTTAACCAAACAAAATTTGTTTTCTTACGTTTAGTGACTTTTAAATTATTTGTGATTGTTTCGTTATTTTGAACATAATAGATACATTTTTTAAAAGATTTATTTTTTATGCGAGATTTATTTTATTGATTCTTTCCAATTTTTAGTGATTACCGGTGACCGGAATTAGAACATCACGCTATTTCCGTTTTCTGTTAGAAAAAAACTATAAGAATTTAATAATTTTATTTAAATTTGATGCGCTGTTCTTTTTACTCCACGAGATTCTTTTCTATTTAAAGTGTATATAGTAGAGCAGAAAATTATTTTTTCTCAAAAACCTTCAGAATTTAATTTTATATTCCATATTCTCATTAAGTGTATTCTAAGAAATTTTCTGTCTGTGGTGTTTTCTAAAAAAAAAAATAAAAAAAAATTCCAAATTTTAACAACCCAGTTTCACTTGAAGTGACGTTTACCTTACTGCTAAATAAGGAAGTACGAGAAAGTTTAGGGGAGATCACTACCGCTTGATTTAAACTCACTTTAAGGATTTTTAAATTCAATCGTTCTGCTTATTTGATATGGCATTCAGTAGACCAGGGGTCTCCAAACTTTTCAGCCCGAGGGCCGCATTAACTATCAAATATCAGTTCGGGGGCCAGAGTTTCTTTAAGGCATCTCTTCGGGGTGGTGGCGCCCCCCCCCCCCCCCCAACAAAATATAATTTATATAGAAATATATATATATATATATATATATATATATATATATATATATATATATATATATATATATATATATATATATATATATATATATATAAAGTGTACACTCCCATCTCTCTCCCCCCCCCCGGTAGTAAAAAGTCTGGAAGAAACACTTTCGGGGGTCGACAACACACTCGAGGTCCAAGTTTGCTCTGCTCTCAAATTATTCTTATCGTATTTCATTCTTGAAAATGTTTGTTCACACAGGTATGTTATTCCAAAATTTAAAAGGTACTTTGATGCAGAAGTTTTAATATTAGGAAAGTCTTCCTTGTGCAAAAACTTATGAAAACCCATCCGCTCTTCTTTGAACGTGTCTCTAAGGAAGTCATTTTCTTGCAATTCAATGACCGCCCGATGCAGTTCATCTTTGCAACTGTCCACATTTGTTTCAAATGGGTTTTGAAACAATCTCACTTCTTCTGCCTTTGAATCCAAGTAAGAGAACCGCTACTGAAACAGCAGCTGGGGTCTTTGATGATCTCGCATGCAAATGACGTGGCGAACTCAGTGGTTGCTTCAGCCGCAAAGACCTTGCACTGCTGAAAGTGTGTCAAGTTGTTCACTCTTCATCAGACAATAGCGGCTGTGGCTTGCCTTTACTTCGAGGAAGTCACCTATTTTTTTCTTAATTTAAATATTCTGCTCAGAACGTTCTCGCAAAATGAGCCATCTTACTGATGTGAAATATGATCAATCTTGCGATTTTGTGTTTGCCTCTGAACTATCTATGGTAAGATATTCTTTCCGCTAACAGTGTCATACATTTTATGTAGGGAAGCCGGCTCTTGTATTATGTTCATGTCTTCATCCACACCTCTAATGAACACAAGAAGTTGAGGTGGAACAGCTGTCAAGCGACTCATCCATTGCAAATGAAAAATGGCGAAGCTTGCTTGCATTTTTCGCTATTTGAGTCACGATGTTTTCACCAATGTCTGCAACACGGCGGGCAATGGTATTTGCACACTAAGCTACATTTTCAAATAGTTTTGAATTTTCTGTGCAAAGTTCCTCAGTCACCTCTAACAAACATTTATTCAGTGGACAAAAAGATCGTCGCGGGCCGGATGAAATGACCTCGCGGGCCGCATCCGGCCCGCGGGCCGTAGTTTGGAGACCCCTGCAGTAGACAAACGTCTTGCAATATTCGAGCTACAGTTTCACATGATGCACTAAAATTATTGGTGAACTCTACTTCATTTGCGACTTGACGTCGATTTGAAAACATGTTTTCTTCGGTTAAGGGAAATAATAATAATAATGTGAACAGCCGTAAAAGTAAATGAACCAGCGTCTGTTTCTATTTGGTAGATTAAGTTTAGTAAATTCATAAATGCCAAGACAGATATCTTTACATTACACGAACTAAGTGAGGCACCAGATTTTAGTTATAAATTACTTTTTACAATTTAGCAGACGTGAAATAAACGAATTGCTTTGTAATTTAACCACCTAGCCCCTTCATCACATTGCGACATAATACTCAAAGGCTTTCAAACACTCGTTAGTTACCTAACACATATTAATTGTGATTTTGAAAAACCTAACCCTTTAATTCATAGCGCACTCAAGAATCAATGCTTTTCTAATATTTACCATAAATAAACATACATTTATTGTATTTTTAAAAATAAAAACCTAAACTACTTTAAACCAAACTAACATAAAACAAAAACCATGTTTATAGTGTTTAAAAAAATAACTTCTTTACTTTATAGCTTACTTAATGCAAGAATCAATGACTTTATAACACTGACTATAACATAAACACATATTTATTGTGATTAAAAAAAAAACAAAAAAAAAATCCCAAAAAACAATCTAAACCCTTTATTTCATAGCTAACATACAGAAATAATTTTGTTGTGTTTTAAAAAAAAACTAATTCCTTTGCTTACGTAAAGTAAAAATCAATGGTGATTTAAAAAAAAACTAATCCTTTACTTCTTAGTTAACATAAATCACAAATCACATTTATTATGATTTAAAAAAAAAACCTAACCCTTTACTTTATAGCTAACTTAAATCACAAATCACATTTATTGTGAAATAAAAAAAAAAACCTAACCCTTTACTTATAGCTAACCTAAATCACAAATCACATTAGTTGTGATTTAAAAAAAAACTAACCCTTTACTTTATAGCTAACCTAAATCACGAATCAATGTCTACCTAACACTCGCCATTACATAACCACATCTCTATTGTGAGTTTGAAACATCGACCACTCTATTATAGCCGACTTAAAAACAATGACTTTTTAACTCTGAGAACGATCTGACGATTGGAGGTCTTGATCTACACTCGCTACAACGTGTTAACGAAATTCTCTGGACGGCAAAAAAAAATGTATCATTTGGACGGCCAAATATGTCCTTCTATGGACGGCCAAAAAAAAAACAACAACCACCTCTGGATATCACGCGGTGACCCAGTAATGAGATGTGCACGTGCGCGAGCCGCTCACTCCCAGAATTGAGCCCCAGGATCGATAGAACGTCGGCTTTCGCTGGCGCCTAATCGATGATTGATCCATGGGGACACATACTTGTCCCTGATTGGTCAGCTTCTACTGACGTCTTCAAGCCATCATCGGGCTAGTCTGTCAGCGGTGATGTGTGAAAGTCGGTGCGGAAACCTGCGGTAGTTGACGGATACTTGTGCGCCAGCCCAGATCGGCTCGGACATGTGGTTCGTTGTCAGGGTTGATGTTCTCAGTGTCGTGTTTCCTTGCGGCAATTAGCGCTGCTCGCCGAGATAGATTTCCGCGCGGTTCTTGTGGTGTTCCACCTGCGTCTGCTCCTACTGCATCTGTGTATTCGGCATGTCATTTAATTAGCGAGACTTCGTGAAGCTTGCATTTGGTGATTTTTCTTTTTTTTTATATAACTACATTTTTTTCCGTCGCAACAGTTGCATTAAACTGTAAAAAAGAAAAATAACTAAGTTTATTATTTCAACAGAAAACATTATTTCAATGTATCATTAATAATTGTAATAATATCGGTAATAAACTTTTTTCGGAAAAAATATATTTTTAAACAGGTGTTTAAAGTGAATTAGGTTTTTTTTTTTAAAAAAAAATAAATCAAAATAACAATTTATCTTCGCAGCGCGTAAGATTAAATTGTATGTCTTTTTAAAAAAATTTTGCGAAAAGTTAATGAAACAAATAGCTTACATCATAGTGTAAAAAATAGACCTACTATTCGTTGAAACCAGCCCATAATTTCACATTTTCTCTAACATAAACCTGCATGCTACCACCATAAAAACCCACCTTCGGTACATTTCAGATCCGTAATTAGTAGTCAAACATTTTAAATAAACAGACCACTTTTATAAGCATCATTTAATATATTAAATCTCTACAGAAAACTACTCATTTTAAATTGTTTTTTTTTTTAATTCTAGCCGTATAAACTGAGCAGGAATTTTACATTTTTCTAGACTGACTACTGCTCAGCTTTCTTTAAAAACGGACATAATATATGAGTGTTCTTGGGTGATGTTCGGTGAAAACAAACATTTTTAATTAAATACATCTACCGTTTGTTGTTTTTTTTATGCTACGGAACCGTTTTACTTGCCAAAATACTCAAATCGGACAGTTGATTGGCTAATGTTTGATTGGCTAAGGTTACAGAAGTGGCTACTAGGCTAATAATTGTTACCGTTTAGCCTATAACTTTTGAAAATAGCGCTGTGACTTTTTTAGACGTTTCGTAAAACAAACAGTTTTAAGTTTTAAAACAAACCTAAAATGACGAGCGAGATATTTTATATCACAAACAAAAATGGGCCGATAACAGTAGGTAATCGCCCGGTCAAAGAGCGAAAAGACATGATGACTTCTCGAAGAGTAAAATGTAGTTTTACTTTCTTTATATGAACTAAGTATGTCGTATTTAATTAAATTGGTTTTAGAGTTACTTAAAATAATTTTGTTTTTCAAACTTCAACTACATATCGGGGGTCGCGACCTCGAATCTACCGTGTCTTATATAAATATAAAGCCTATAGTTGCTATTAAAAAAAAATAAAACCATTTATATTGGTAACCTGGCCTGGGTTGGACATCCCCCCCCCCCCCCCACTAGCAACCCACTGTGCCGTTGTCATGCAGAGTATTAAAAGTTTCTCTACTTATATGACATATCTTTGTCCTGTTATTTGTATGGCGCACATAATTTCAAATACATGTTTTCATAAGGATCTACAGTAGACTGTTGCTAATTTTACATCCTTGATGGTTCAACAAGACTGTTCAATAGGCGCCAATACTTTTATCAAATACACCTCCACCCTCCCTACACACGCATAACTATTTATTTATTTGTTACGTTTCTTTTAGCTTTTAACATTTTAATAAATAATATTAGACGTGTGAAAATGTAATGTGTTTTTATTCCTAAAATGTTGGATTTGGTGATATTAATTCGAGGGTAACGTGCTCAGCAGTGTTTCTTCCAGACTTTTTTCTCCGGGGGGGGGGGGGATTTGTGTGATGTTATTGTGTGAATGTGTTATATTTGTGTGATGTTATTGTGTGAATGTGGTATATTTGTGTGATGTTATTGTGTGAATGTGGTATATTTGTGTGATATTATTGTGTGAATGTGGTATATTTGTGTGATATTATTGTGTGAATGTTGTTTGATTTGTGTGATATTATTGTGTGAATGTAGTATATTTGTGAGATAATATTGTGTGAATGTATTATATTTGTGTGATATTGTGTGAATGTGGTCAATTTGTGTGATATTATTGTGTGAATGTGGTATATTTGTGTGATATTATTGTGTGAATGTGGTATATTTGTGTGACATTATTGTGTGAATGTGGAATATTTGTGTGATATTATTGTGTGAATGTGGTCAATATGTGTGATATTATTGTGTAAATGTGGTCAATTTGTGTGATATTATTGTGTGAATGTGGTAAATTTGTGTGATATTATTGTGTGAATGTGGTCAATTTGTGTGATATTATTGTGTGAATGTGGTCAATGTGTATGATAATATTGTGTGAATGTGATTAATTTGTCTGATATAATTGTGTGAATGTGGTATATTTGTGTGATATTATTGTGTGAATGTGATCAATTTGTGTGATATTATTGTGTGAATGTGGTCAATTTGTGTGATATTATTGTATGAATGTGGTCAATTTGTGTGATATTGTTGTGTGAATGTGGTATATTTGTGTGATATTATTGTGTGAATGTGATCAATTTGTGTGATATTATTGTGTGAATGTGGTCAATTTGTGTGATATTATTGTATGAATGTGGTCAATTTGTGTGATATTGTTGTGTGAATGTGGTATATTTGTGTGATATTATTGTGTAAATGTGGTCAATTTGTGTGATATTATTGTGTGAATGTGGTCAATTTGTGTGATATTATTGTGTAAATGTGGTCAATTTGTGTGATATTATTGTGTGAATGTGGTAAATTTGTGTGATATTATTGTGTGAATGTGGTCAATTTGTGTGATATTATTGTGTGAATGTGGTCAATGTGTATGATAATATTGTGTGAATGTGATTAATTTGTCTGATATAATTGTGTGAATGTGGTATATTTGTGTGATATTATTGTGTGAATGTGATCTATTTGTGTGATATTATTGTGTGAATGTGGTCAATTTGTGTGATATTATTGTATGAATGTGGTCAATTTGTGTGATATTGTTGTGTGAATGTGGTATATTTGTGTGATATTATTGTGTAAATGTGGTCAATTTGTGTGATATTATTGTGTGAATGTGGTCAATTTGTGTGATATTATTGTGTGAATGTGGTCAATTTGTGTGATATTATTGTGTGAATGTGGTATATTTGTGTAATATTATTGTGTGATAGTGATCAATTTGTCTGATAATTTTGTGTAGATGTAATCAGTTTGTCTGATATTATTTTGTGGATCTGGTCAATTTATGTGATATTATTGTGTTATTGTGGTCAATTATCACAACAAAAGACGTAGAGACTGGTTTGGCCGAGAATAGATACACTAATAATTAAAACGCCAACTCTCTATATAACTCTAACCATAACTGTAAATTAATAAATTATCACTAGTTGATTATACTTATCAAATTTAATCACTTGTTGTTAGACGTTTTTCACGTTTTCAGAAAAAAAAGAGTCTAACTAATTATTTTTCTTACCGTCTACTTGAATCCACGAAAACCCGTGGTAAAATAATTTGAATAAAAAGACGTATATTTTGCTTTCAAAAATATAATTAAAATTAATATATAAATTGTTTCTAATACGGAAGTTTAAAAAATACATTCAAATTGTTTCACATTGTGTTGAGGAATTAGAAATCATCTCTTTTGTATGTGGTTTAAACTCTAGGTGTGATGTGTAGTTTGACCTCCAGATATATACTCTTATTTATCATTAGTTATCATTGGTTGATTGCCGCATCTAAAACTGTGTGGTTTTAACGTCACTAACTCTTGTGATTAAGACGTCACTAAAATCGTCAAGTTATAGCGTCAATTAGATCATGTGATCAAACCGTCATTAAAATCATGTGGTTAAATTGTAATTTAAATCATGTGATCAAATCGAAATTAAAATCATGTGGTTAAATCGTCATTAATATCCATGTGGTCAAATCGTCGTTAAAATCATGTGGTCAAATCGTCATTAAAATATGTACGACCTATGACCATGACACCCTACGCATCGCTAGGTCTAGTACTTCAGTCAGAGAATCATTAACTTGTCCTTAAGGCTTGTGTTTAGAAACACCGTTAAAATTTAAATCAAAACTACAAATTATTTTAAGATTGTTTTGATTTGTTGTTATCATATAGACAGAATCTCTTGTAAACATATACGTTAATTGTATAATTAGAGTATTTTAAATTAAATTAATAAATACTTAAATTTTCATCCCTAATAGAATATCAATATTTGTTTCCACCTCCTTATAGTTATATCTTCAACCTTGTTCTTAATTAGCCTCCTTTATCTAAACACCCCTAATTTTAACACCTCTTTATTTTTATTATCTTTATTTTATCTTTATTTAACACCTCTAATTTAACATCCTGCTATTGTACCTTATTCATTTTGTATATATATATATATATATATATATATATATATATATATATATATATATATATATATATATATTAATAGCTCTAATTTAACATAGCGTAATTTAACACCCACTAATGTAATTCATTATTAATTTAACAATCTTAGATGACCCTTCTAATTCAACTACGTCAAATTTAATCTCTACTAATTTAATCACTTCTAAGTTAATGTTCTAATGTAATGTCCTTTAATTTAACGCCCTCTAATTATTTAACCCCTTCTAACTTAGGTCTCTAATTTGACCTCCAATAATTTAACCTCACTAATTTCAGCCCCTATAATTTAACCTCTTCTAATTTAACATCTTTTTATTTAACCCCCTCTATTTTAACTCCTTCTAATCTATTCTCCTCTAATTTAACCCAATCCAATTCAACCCCCTGTAATTAACTCTAAATTGACCTCTCGTATTTAACCCCATCTCATTTATTATTTAACCCCCTCTCATTTAACCCCCGAAATTAAACCCCTTCTCATTTAAACCCCTAAATTAACCCCATCTAAATTAACCATTTTAATTTAACCTAGACTTTTTTTCCGGGGGGGGGGGGGCACTTGATATTTTCGGATTAAATTTTCCGAGGAGGGGCGGACACTGGTAAAATTATATATCTTCTATATAAATTCCATTTTGTTTAAGGGGGGAGCGCGGTAGAAGTTCCTCTCTAATTAACCCCTTCTAATTTGACCTTACACCTGCAGGCTTCCCTTGACCCCCCACGGTGCCAGATCCACCATGACGCCATTCTCTGAGAGCACCCGACGTCACACCACGCGCTTCTTCATCGACGACATCCTGGTCAGCAAACCCAAGCCCCTCCCCCGTGAGCCGGCTCCACCAATCATAACACGCCCCCCGTTCCTCGACTACGCCTCCTACGCTGCAGCAAGTCTTTCCAGCCCCTGCCCGCTGCTGTTGACTCCGCCCTTTTTCACGCAAAGCCACGCCTCTTTTCTCAACAGCCTACCCGATCACCCGGCTTTCCTTCTGCCTTCAGCTCGAGGTAAGTACAAATAGTTTTTTTTTAAGTTTCCTAATTTTAAAAAAAAAGTGAAAAGTAAAGAAATGGCGTTCAATGACGTCACATTCCTGAGGTGGGGAAGGAAGTGGGTTGGGACTTTTGTGACGATGTGTGACACAGGGGAAGGGCGAGCTAAGAAAATGTGACGCCCTACTCTTTTATTTTAAAATTTAATTTTATACTCAAATATTTCAACAGTAATTTAGTTTGTTTTAAAGATGTTATACAAATCTATTGTAAAACAAAATGAACACTAACACGGGCGAAGTTTTGAGTCGGATGTGGAAACATTTGGAGTGTAAAATAATTTTTAGTGGCGATAAAAAAGGTATTTTGTCCAGATAATTAAATCACGCCACTGGTACAAAAAATGCACGGGCCTAAAGCTAAGCCTCGACAATTGTGACCTATTTCTGTTGGTTAGACATAAAACTTCTTATTCGCCTCTATGGTTAGGGTTAGAGAGGGTCAGTGTTTCTTCCAGACTTTTTTCTCCGGGGTGCACTTGAAATTTTCGGGGTGCGGACTAAAATTTCCGGGGGTTGGGGGGGGGGAGCGGACAATGTCAAAATTATATATTTCCTATATAAATTCCATTTCGTTGGGGGGGGGGGGGGGCAGTAGACTCCCTTCGGGAGGAGCCCGAAGAGATGCCTGGAAGAAACTCTGTTTAGGGGTTAAGTTCGGGGTTGGGGTTAGGATTAAAGGTTAAAGGTATCGAAATATAGACCTTTTCGTGCAAATCATTTATAACATATCCCGATTTCACCCTCTTAAATAAAATCTAAAACTACAAGTTTTACATCCTCTTTTTTATATTCCTTTTTTTTTGGGTGGCGGGGTACGCCATTTAACGGGGCTTATCTGGACAGAGCCCGAAAAAATTACATTCTGAAGAGTGACGTTATTTTGGAGGATAGGCGGGGGGGGGGGGGGGGAGGGGAGACCATATATAGCATCGAATGACAATAGGGGGGGGGGGGGTGAAGAGAATATTATTAAACTCCAACATTCGCCAAAAATATTAACCATGCCTGTGTGGAGCGTAGGACCTCAGCCATTTTGCTCTCCCCCCCCCCCCCCACTAGTTCCTGGCCCACACTGTGTACTAGCCGTCTCCCATGACAACCCTGCGGTCTAGAGTTCATCGAGAAGACACAGTCTACAAGGCTGTCCTAAGATATGTGACTCAAATATTCTTGACCGTGAAAATTAGAAATTAGATGGATAACATACTACAATATTAGAACAAGAGGACTTTTTTCAATCATCAAATAGTTATAAAATATATTTTTTATAAAAAAGTAAATTTGCATTTCCAACCAAACTAAATAGAGATAATCTGTTCTTTAACCTCGGCATACGAACGGAGAATTTTTCAGCACAATACCCTCCTACCTTTACCTTTCTCCAACACAATTCAGGTAGTCAAATGAACTGAGTAGACTCAGGCGCGTCATATGGACTTAAGCCCGAATCGAACTCAAAACCTTATGTCAAGCAATCGAGCACTCTAGCTCCCCACCACCAGCCCTACATTATCAACAGAGTTCGCCTTGAATAGTATTGATCCCTATCTGTGTCAGTGTGTATTTTAATTCGCACTTTCCAAGGGGAAAGGGAAGGGTTCAATTGAGATTACTTGAATTCCCGGCGATAGTGTCTACAAAGTGTTCCAGCTCTGAGACTTCAATACAAAACATTTTGTGACAGTGGTCTCTAAACACTTTGTAGACACTCTCTAAACATTCTTGTACAGTACTCTTGAGTTCAGCGTTTTTAAATTGCGGTTGATTACGGAATGCATCCACCATGAAATCAGTGCAAGCACTTTGCATAGATTGCTTTGAGACTAGTGTCGGTAAATCGGTTGTTTTGTAAAAAAAAATGTACACCGCTCTGTTGGTTAATGAGGGAATCAATTCAAAGGCTTATCATTTCTGACTAACTGGCTACGAAACGGCTGACACCATATTCTGTACAGAATATACTGTACAGACCACCAGCCAATATTATCAGGCAGACGTTGGAGTGGAACCCTCAAGGAAAGCGCAGAAGAGGTCGGATAAGAAATCATGGTGACGGGACCTTAAGGCTAAACCTTCAAAGATGGGCTACACCTGGAGTCAGGTTGAGAAGATGGTACAGGACAGAGGACTCTGGAGATCTTTGGTTGGCGGCCCATACCCCAGCAGGACAGAGGACTCTGGAGATCTTTAGTTGGCGGCTCATACCCCAGCAGGACAGAGGACTCTGGAGATCACTGGTTGGCGGCCCATACCCCAGCAGGACAGAGGACTCAGGAGATCTTTGGTTGGCGGCTCATACCCCAGCGGGACAGAGGACTCTGGAGATCTTTGGTTGGCGGCCCATACCCCAGCAGGACAGAGGACTCTGGAGATCTTTGGTTGGCGGCCCATATCCCAGCAGGACAGAGGACTCTGGAGATCTTAGGTTGGCGGCTCATACCCCAGCAGGACAGAGGACTCTGGAGATCTTTGGTTGGCGGCCCATACCCCAGCAGGACAGAGGACTCTGGAGATCTTTGGTTGGCGGCCCATACCCCAGCAGGACAGAGGACTCTGGAGATCTTTGGTTGGCGGCCCATACCCCAGCAGGACAGAGGACTCTGGAGATCTTTGGTTGGCGGCCCATACCCCAGCAGGACAGAGGACTCTGGAGATCTTTGGTTGGCGGCCCATACCCGAGCAGGACAGAGGACTCTGGAGATCTTTGGTTGGCGGCCCATACCCCAGCAGGACAGAGGACTCTGGAGATCTTTGGTTGGCGGCCCATACCCCAGCAGGACAGAGGACTCTGGAGATCTTTGGTTGGCGACTCATACCCCAGCAGGACAGAGGACTCTGGAGATCTTTGGTTGGCGGCTCATACCCCAGCAGGACAGAGGACTCTGGAGATCTTTGGTTGGCGGCTCATACCTCAGCAGGACAGAGGACTCTGGAGATCTTTGGTTGGCGGCTCATACCTCAGCAGGACAGAGGACTCTGGAGATCTTTGGTTGGCGGCCCGTACCCCAGCAGGACAGAGGACTCTGGAGATCTTAGGTTGGCGGCTCATACCCCAGCAGGACAGAGGACTCTGGAGATCTTTGGTTGGCGGCCCATACCCCAGCAGGACAGAGGACTCTGGAGATCTTTGGTTGGCGGCCCATACCCCAGCAGGACAGAGGACTCTGGAGATCTTTGGTTGGCGACTCATACCCCAGCAGGACAGAGGACTCTGGAGATCTTTGGTTGGCGGCTCATACCCCAGCAGGACAGAGGACTCTGGAGATCTTTGGTTGGCAGCCCATACCTCAGCAGGACAGAGGACTCTGGAGATCTTTGGTTGGCGGCTCATACCCCAGCAGGACAGAGGACTCTGGAGATCTTAGGTTGGCGGCTCATACCCCAGCAGGTCAGAGGACTCTGGAGATCTTTGGTTGGCGACCCATACCCCAGCAGGACAGAGGACTGGAGATCTTTGGTAGTCGGCCTATACCCTAGCAGGACAGAGGACTCTGGAGATCTTTGGTTGGCGGCCCATACCCCAGCAGGACAGAGGACTCTGGAGATCTTTGGTTGGCGGCCCATACCCCAGAAGGGGTAGCGGGCAGTGATGTTGATGTGATGATGATAATGTCGATGGCTTTACGATGGAATTAATATATAATCGTCTGCTAAAGTGTGTTAGATTTTTTTAATACTACAGTTGTGGGCAGGGTTTATTGTAGCCTTAGGTTCATCATCAAAGATGTCAGAAAAAGCAGTTGACAGTTGATAATAATGTTGAGATCTGCCATTTTGCTGCTTTCCTTTCCGTAATCAATTGAAAAATTTTCATTGTTAGTAGCTCTCAGTGTTTCTTTCAGACATTTTTCTTCAGGGTGGTGGGTGGGGGTGGGGAGGGAGGTACTGAAAAATTCTGGGAGTGAGGCAGTCGAAATTCTAGAGCGGGGGCGATCACTGGTTAAAGTATACATTTTATATTTAAAATTTAATATTTTTTCTATAGTGCCGGGGGGGGGGGGGGGGGGGTTGGAGAAAGTTGGACGTACACTACCCCACCCGGCCGCCCCCGAGAGAAACCTGAATTCAACACTGGATGCTTTGCAAAACTTGTTTTGAATTTTTACCTCAGTAGACATGATGGCTCAATGTTGAATTTAAACACAATCTTACACAGTTCATTTAAACACAATCTTACACAGTTAATTTAAACACAATCTTACACTGTTCATTTAAACACAATGTTACACAGTTCATTTAAACACAATCTTACACTGTTCATTTAAACACAATCTTACACTGTTCATTTAAACACAATCTTACACACTTCATTTAAACACAATCTTACACTGTTCATTTAAACACAATCTTACACAGTTCAATTAAACACAATCTTACACAGTTCATTTAAACACAGTCTTAAACTGTTCATTTAAACACAGTATTACACTGTTCATTGATTGGGTTGTCCATAAATGACGTCACACTCGCAGTGGGGAGAGGGGTCCGTAATTTTGTAACAATGTGTGAGGGGGGGGGGAGTAAAAATCGATTTTTAAAAGCGTGACGTCATGTATGGGTGACCCCCTAAACACATATTTACACGGTTCATTTAAACATAATCTTACACAGTTCATTTAAACACAATCTATGAAACACTTAACACATCTAGTCTACCCCCCCCCCCAGGTCTGCCACTGAACCCCCTGTTCCAACAGGACACTGCCAGCAAACACTGCCGACGTAGGAAGGCCCGGACTGTGTTCAGCGACCAGCAGCTGACTGGCCTAGAGAAGAGGTTCGAAACCCAGCGCTACCTGTCCACGCCGGAGCGGATGGAGCTGGCGTCACAGCTCAACCTGTCTGAGACCCAGGTGAGACGGGGAGGTTTTCGTGTGACGTCATGTCGTGTTGTGTGTGACGTCATTTCGTGTTGTGTGTGACGTCATTTCGTGTTGTGTGTGACGTCAATTCGTGTTGTGTGTGACGGCATTCGTGGTCGACGTGACGCATGACCTGTTTCTTGTGACGTAATAAAAAATTTCATCTTGTTGTAATTTTCTGAAAACGTTCGAACTTTGCGTGAAATGTAGACTTACCTGTATTCACACATCTGTGTGCCCCCCCCCCCCCCCACCCCCATCCCGCTGATGTTGCGTTTTTGCCGTCCCCTTATTCACGTGTGTTAAGAGCAGTGTTTCTTCCTGATTTTTTTCTCGGGGGGGGGGGGGGGGGAAAGGGGGCACTTAATATTTTCGGGGGGGGGGGGGGGGGGGCACTAGTAAAAGTATATGTGGCGTGTAAACTTTCTTCGGGGGGCGGGGTGACGACGACGGGATGCCTGGAAGAAACTCTCGTTAAGAGACAAGTGCGGTTGGCGATTTGTTACACCTTCAATAGACCCGCTCAACTTTTTTTTGGACTGATAGCGACTACTAAGTGATATTTTGGTGAACAAGGCCAGTGTTTCTTTCAGACTTTTTTCTCCGGGAGTGGGGGGGGGGGCGCAATTGAAAGTCTCGGGGGAGTGCTGTTACCATTTTTCTGTAAGGGGGCGGACACTGGTAAAAGTATATATTTTCTATATAAATTCCATTTCGTTCGGGGGGGGGGGGGGGTTAATATTATCCGGGGGGGCGGGGGGGGGGGTGGGGGGGGGGTGGGGTGGACACTGGTAAAAGTATATGTTTTCTATATAAATTCGTTCCAGGCATTTCTTCGGAAAAAAAAGCTACGCGTTCAAAATGAATTATTTAAGAGAAAATAAACAGGGCTTCGGCCTTGAATGATAAACATTTCTATTATTATTTAAACATTTTTAAGTCCTTTCAAGCGAGGTAAACTTGTATTGATCAGCGAAACATTAAAAAAAATCAAAGCCAGGCCATTCTAGATCGATGAATAATGATGTAATGTGGGTAAGAAAAACCTTATTTCCATAAATAAAGTTTACGCGCCGAAATTTGAAAAAAAAATATCAGAAGAGATTTTAGGCCGTTATTGCATCAAATCAAAAATATTTTTACTTGTTGCTATGACGACGCTACGCACACGGCGCATGCGTAAATGTTTGTGACGATAAGGTCAGAGGTGGTTTAAAAAAAATTAAAATGTGTAGATTGCGTTTTTACGAGGGATGTTATTAAATGGATAAATGCAATAATTTTTATATCGCGTTCGTGTTAATGGGAAAGAGGGGTGGGGTGGGGGGAGGGGGGGTAGAATGGGCGTGGACAAGCTACAGATTTAAGGGGCGCGCACATATTGTATGACATAACATATTGTATTTATTTATAACATGACATCTAGGGTAATTGTTTTAAACATTTCTGGTATTTCGAATAGTTGAAGGAAGCTTAGATATTTGTTCTGGTAATTGATGTTGATGTCGATTAAAATGTCATATGGAATTATTTAAAGGAATTACATCTATAGAAATAAAAATGTGAAGTACCTAATAGTATCTAGGCCGACCGGTACTTAATTTGATTATTAGTTTAAA